GGTTTGATGAAAAGTTGACAGTTGTGGAGGAATGCCATGGGTTAAGGAGTGTGAGGTAATGGTAGTAAACCTGGGGAAACTGAGTGGGTTCTTCTCAGCATCCTTTTGTCTTCAGAGATAACCATGTTCCTTTCCTCCAGATATAAGGAGGGCACCTCTTGCATTAGGGTTTATGACCTGTTTCAGAGAAGAAAGGTGAGGGTGGGGGCAGATTAGAATGACTTTCCTGTTTCTATTGTTTTCTCAAACTCCTTCAGTTTAAAATATTTACAATGCCAAGGTGCAACATTTGGGGGTAGCATGTCCTGACTCCACTAAGAGTGTAATATGAGTGAAGGGAACTTTGCATCTTGATTCTGCCTCAGGTGAAGTCTAAGGTGTGGAAACATGAGAGAAATGCCCTCTTATAGAGACAACCCCATGCCACCCTTTCTAAGTTCTGAGATTGGCAAACCATTAAGCAGAATTTGGTCTATTTAATGTCTGTACCTGAGAGAACCAAGATGGTCTCTGGAAGATTGCAATTGATATTTCAAATTAAATGCATAAAAGAGAACTCTCATGATACTGCTCCAGACTGCCTGATGCTCTCCCTCAACACAAGGTCAGGAGAAAAAGAAACATTATTTTGTTGGAAACCTCACTTCTGTGATTTAACTATGCTCCTAGGATGTCTAGGAGTTCCAAGGGTCTCTGACCGACTTTCATACTTCAATCACACAGTTCAGTTTTTATCAGGTTTTCATGGGGAAGGGGTTGCTGGGACAATTTTTTGGCCCAAAAATATAATTCGATGAAAATTACTGCTTTGGTGGGGGAAGAAAAGGAAAACATTGGCCACAGGTCAAGGTGGAAATGGTGATGATTCATAAATTTTTCCACCCTGAAGTTACCCCTAAAATTCCAGAATTTCTGTTGGCTTTTACGGGTTTGTCAAAAGAAAAATCTCAGCTTAATTAACAAAGGGTAAAATATATAAGATATGTAAAGTTATTTAATTCCTTAATCTTACTACGCAGCAGATGTGGCTGACAGTGCAAGATTGAAGGATATGGGCAGACCTGGAGAAGGGAATGTGCCTGAATATGTGGTCTACTTGTGTTCCCAAGAATATCGGACCTCAGAGTTTGGACTTTTAAGGCATGTGCCGTTTAAATTAGTGACTTCTTAAGATTTTCAAAAGATTTCTTTGTCTAAGGTTTCACGTGTTCTTCAAATAATCGACTGGTCATCCATGGGGAGAAACTCCTATAATTAAAAGCAATTTCAAAAATATCACTAGGAGTGCATTAAAAAATTATGAGAGCACTTGTGCCTTCCCATCCTGACAGAGTCTGACTCAGGGAGATGGTAGACGGATTAGAGAAAAAGGTCAAAGTCATACATTACTGGTATGATTGTAAGTCTGCCAAGTGCGCCTTTCAGGCATGGCAGAGACCATGGTTCTGGATTGTTTTCCCACAACATTTTTTGTTGGTTGTTAAAATATCTCCCCATCGCTGCCTTTTCCATGAATTTTCCTTATAACATCTATATCTCTTACACTTGTCCTGTGGACTTACACCTCTACAACACTAATCTTCTGGTAGTCAGTGTCCCTTTCAAGAAAAGCTGCTAGGTTAGATAACCTAGGAAGTCATAGGTAGTAGCCCTGTCATGACAGACCAAATCCAGCCACTGTCAAATGGTTATAATCTGGTTTACCAACCCTAGATCAGCTTACTAGTGAAGCCACTACCAGTAAGACCTTCCTCCACAATTAACTACCATGGACAGCTCCCAACTGTCTCCCGGGTTTCGACATTGTTAAATTTAAGTCAGGTGCCAGTCCCTGTGTATTCCTAAACACGAAAGTCAAGCTCTATGAGTGATTCTGAGCAATTCTCTGCACTTGGCTGAGATTTACAAAGTGGCAATCCTTTCTTCCATCAGAGTGTGAGGCGGGTGTGTGCGACAGGGAAAGAAAGCACAGCTTATCATCAACCTCTCTTTAAAGAAATTCTATTACCTTTTCTAATCACTCTTCTTGTCACTTATAGACACTTCAGGTGGGTGGTAAGCTAATAATAGCAAAACCTGTTTCATAATCTCTTACAAAGAGGACCTATCTCCTCTTGTTCAGAGTATTGGGGATGTCTGATAAAACTCCAAAACAAATATAAAAGTCAGAATTGCATTTGATTACAGTGTATTTAGGACTATACCTTTAAGCTTGCCACCTGAAAATGTTCTCACAAAATCTGCCCCACACTCTGAATTCCCTCTAATTTCATGTGTGCAAATGAGTAGATAGAATTAACATTAAACGCTAAAAATGCATACATACTACAATTCTGACACCAGTTCCAATGTGTGGGGTTTTTTTTCCCCCACACCAAGCAATTTTCTGACATCAGCTAGGTGTCCTACAATTCAACTCAATTCTGACACTATCTACCGAGAAACAGCATCAGATTCCACAAATTAAAGGACTCAGTCCCACAAGACTTCTCCTACTTCAGAGGCCAATCACAAGTCACCTGTGCTTCTGACAGGCCAGCTACAAATCAGAGGTTCCCACAACTCCTCATTGAGTTCAATTAATTTGCTGGAGTGGTTCACGAAACTCAGGAAACCGGTTTACTTACTAGATTACTAGTTTACTACAAAAGATGGTAAATGACGTGAGTCACCGGTCAGATAAAGAGATACACAGGGCAAGGTCCAGAACAAAGGAGCTTCTGTCCCTGTGGAGTTTATGGCCCTGCATGGCAGCACAGGCATCCATTCTGGTTCCCTAACCTGAAAGCTCTTTGAATGTCATCCTTTTAGGTTTTTATGGAGTATTCATCACATAGGCACAATTAATTAAATCATTGGCAATTGGTGGTTGAACTCAATCTGCAGCCCCTTTCCCCTCCCCAAAGGTCAGTCAGGGGTGAGACTGAAAGTTCCAACCCTCTAATCACTTGGTTGGTTCCCCTAGCAACCAGCCCACCTTCAGATTAACTAGAGACAATCTCAGGGCCTCATTAACATAAGAAAAGGTGCCTTTGCTGCTCTCATCATTTAGGAAATTCCTAGGGTTTTAGGAGCTCTGGGGCAGGAGGAGGATGAAGACCAAATATATATTTATTATAAATCACAATCTCACACATAGTTTTCTATGAGACCAGAGCATCAGGTAGCAAAAGCGTCTGGCTTTTTTCAGCAGAAGCAAGCGAAAGCCCACATTTACCACGTGATCCTAGAGTAGGAGGCAGAGTTGTGCCAGAAGGGCCCTCTTGGAAGATTGCCTCCTAACATAGTTTTCTTTGGCTCATAGTCTCTCTTCAATACCTATAGGAGTGATATAAAGAAATACATTTCAGAAATCTAATGGGCTTTTCTACCAGTCTGCTCTTTCAGCAATTTTGCCATCTACGTAGTAAGCCATCGATACTTTTTGAATTAACATGAGATATATTTTTACAAAAATTGCATCATATTGTAAATAATATTTTTCCTATCAGGACACATACATTCATTTAAGATTTAGTTTCTTTGCATCTTGATTAAATTGAACATTTTTCATGTGCCTAATGAGAAAATATGTTTTCTTCTTGCACTTGTTGTGTATATTCTTTGCCCACTCCACCACCGGGTGCTCATTTTTGTGGCTCACTAACATCCAGGATATGGATGACATCTACTTTAGTTCTGGTCACCATCATCTCTGTAACCTCCACTACCAGGAAAAAATTGGTCCGTCTCTCAATTTCTTTAATGCAATCTATTCTCCACCCTACAGTTTATCTTATCACTTATACCCTGGGGTCTAAGAGTCTTAAATATTTAGTACAAAATCCTTAGCCTGAGTTGGAAAAGACTTCAGCCTCTTGACTAGTCTCCAGATTAGAAAAACTCTAATCAATTTTCCAATTTAAATCTATCTGATCACAACCCAGATTAAAACTCCCTAGTAGTTTACATTTGCCTTCAGACTCTAATTCAAAAATATTGTGTCCTAGAAAACTGACTCAGGCCTCATCTGGTCACTGCCTCACCAATAAATATATTTGGAGAGTAACCTGAGGTACGAGAATGTTGTGCTTTTATCTAGAGAAATAACTTCCCAGGCAGAGCAAATAGCAAGTGCAAGGGCCTAACCTGGGACCATGCTTGGCTTATTTACTAAAAAGCATGGTGACCAGAGGATATGGAGCAAAGTGAGTGACGTGTTAGTAGGAATCAGAAAGGTACTAATGACCCAGCCCTACGGGATTTTGTAAGCCATTGTAAAGTCTTCGGCTTTTACTCTGAAAGTAATGGAAAGCCACTGGCAAGTTTTTGAGCCGTGGAATGATATTATCTAAAATACATTTTAAAAAGACTACTCTGTCTGCTATGTTGAAAATAGACTATTGGGTAGAAAGAACAAAAGGCAAAAGCAGAGAGAGTTATGACATATATCTAGTTTAGAGAAGATGGTGTAAAAAGTGGTAGTATTCCAGGTACATTTTGAAGAAAGGAAAGCAAGGCTTCTGACAAATTGAGTGCGGGCTATGAGAAAAGGAGAGGAGTCAAAGATGCTGCCAAAGTTTTTGACTTGATGAACTGGACTAATGGAGTTGGCATTACCAAAATAAAGAGAACTTTGAGTGGATCAGGGTTCAGTGAAGTTCGGATCGTGATCGAGTTTGGGAATTTTAAGTTTGACTTAAATTACCTATTAGACATTCAAGCAGAGATATTGAATTGGGAGTTGGATATACACACCTGGAGATAAAATTCTAAAAGTAATCACCATTTGAGTGGTATTAGAAACCTTGAGATTGGATTAGTGAGGCTAGGGCTGTATATATACAGGAGATAAGAGATCTAGGGATTTAGTCTTGAGTGACTCAGTAGGAAAGGGGATGGAGAGAGGTAGGGAGAAAGAAAAAACAAAAAAAAAGGAAACTTTGTAAAACCGGCCATTGATATAGATGGAAACTCAGAAAGTATGGTGTCCTGGAAGCCATGAGAAAGAAATTTTCAAGATGGAGAGAGGCCCCGATACTTCAGAAGTTCCTGATACAGGTATTGGGAATTGATCATTAGATTTTTGCAGTGTTAAGTTCATTAATTTGTGACTTTGACAAGAGGAGCATCCATAGAGGTTGGATTAAAGGCTGGACTGAAGTAAATTTGAGAGAGAATGAGAAGGAAAAAGTTATCGACATGTAAATAGCAAATATGGAGAACTCTTAAAAAGTTTTGTTGTAAAAGAAAATGAAGAAATGGGGTGGTAACAATAGAGGGATGTAGAATTCAAGAGTTTTTTCCCCCTAAATTGATAACTACAGTATGTTTATATTATAGATGGAAATGATACAAGGAGAAATGATGTAAATAATCATTTGAACCACACGAATTTGAAAGCTGCAAATTTTAAAATAGAATTAGTAAACTTAAATTTAAATAATTTTTTAATATGACTAAGCAATTTAACTGTAGTATGGTCTATAGTTAAAGTCTATGGCCATGCCACCCTGAACGTGCCCAATCTCGTCTGATCTTGGAAGCTAAGCAGGGTCAAGCCTGGTTAGTACTAGGACAGGAGACCACGTAGGATACCAGGTACTGCAGCTGTTAAAAAAATTAAAAAATAATAGATAAATAAAATAACTTTAGTATGGTCTATAATCCAGGGCTCTGCAAGCATTTCTTTTAATTGAGAGAAAATGTAGAAACCATAACATTTTCTGTTAAGTGTAAAATTCAATGTTTTTTCTTTAGCGAATTCACAAAACAGTACGATCATCACCATTTAATTCCAGAACATTTTTTTTTCTCACCCTAAAAAGAAAGCTATTAGCAGACACTCTCCGTTTTGTCCTACCCCAGTCCCTAACAATCGCTAACCTATTTTCTGTCTCTACAGAGTTGCCTAGACTGGACATTTCATAAACAGAATCACACAGTATATAACCTTTTGTGTCTGACTTCTTTCACGTGCCATGTTTTTAAGATTTATCCATGTTGAACATGAATTAGGATTTTATTCCCTTTTTGTGGTTAGATAATATCTCATTGCATGGATATACCATACTTTGTTTATCCATTCATCAGTTCGTGGACATTGGGGTTGTTTTCACTTTTTGGCAATTAAGAGTAATGTTGCTATGAACATTTACATAATAAGGTTTTGTGTGCACATATGTTTTCATTTCTCTTGCATGTAGTAGCTAAGAAAGAAATTACTAGGTCATATGGTAACTCTATGTTTAACTTTTAAAGAAACAATATTTTCTGCCTCTATTGAGATGATCATATGGTTTTTGTCCTTTATCTTATTGATATATTACATTGATTGATTTTCATATATCAAACTAACCTCACATTTCTGGGATAAATCTCACTTGGCCGTGGTGTATAATCCTTTCTATATGTTGCTGTATTTGGATTGCTAGTACTTTGTTGAAGATTTTTGCCTCTATATTCATAAAAAATATTAATCAAGTTTTCTTGGAATATCTCTAGTTTGGGCATCAGAGTGTGATGGTCAGTTTTATGTGCAATTTGGCTAAGCTACAGACCCCGGTTATTCAAACACTAATGTAGGTGTTGCTGGTATTAAGGTATTTTTCAGAGGTGATTAAAATCTATATCAGTTGACTAAAGAGAGATTATCCTAGATAACCTGAATAAACCTGATCCAATAAGTTAAGGCCTTAAAAGGTGAGTTGAGACTTTCCTGAAGAGAACAAATTCCACCTGTGGAAAAGTGCCAGCTTTCCTTTTCTGAAGTCTGCCTTGAGGATTTCCAACTTGCCCAGAGAATTCCCACAATCGTGTAAGCCAATTTCTTGCAATAAGTCTCTTAGATATATCTCCTACTGGTTCTGGTTCTATAGCTTAACCCAGACAGATAACAGGATAATTAACACTGGCCTCATAGAATGAATTGGGAAGTATTCTTTTCTATTCTATTTTTTGGAACACTTTGTGAAGGGTTAAATTATTTAAACATTAGTAGAATTCCCCAGAAAAATATCTAATTATGTGAGCATTTATAAAATTTATTTTTTAATCTCAGAAATTTATTCTATTATACGTATTAATCTGAAGTTCTTTTATCTCAAATGTACCCTTCTGTGTTAGTATTTATTGACCTACTTTATACTTTTTTTTTTTTTTGCTGCGTTATATTCCATAGTATAAAATATGAGCTTTTCTTTCAGCTTAGCAGGGCCAACCTTAAATCCTAACTACAAATCTTAGTAGCAGTGAAAGTTTGGGAGTTTGGACTTATTTATTTATCTATCTATCTACCTATCTATCTATCTATTTATTTATTTATATTTGAAGGATTTGGATAGAACTATGGATTAAATTGAGATTTCTAGGTTTATGTTCTTTCTGTGATGCTCCTTGTTCTCCAACATCTAATCTGTATCCCCTTGCAGGTTCTCAAGTTTTCTATTTTTGATTCATTTTCTTTGCTCTGTTTCCTTTTGATAAACCTTGATCTTTGACATTTTGTTAAGAAAAAGTAAACAAAAATACAACAAAACACAAATTTCCATGATTTTAGTAGCCATAGTATGCCTTATTGCAGTCGTTTGTAGTCAAAGATGCTCAGTGAAAATTAGATTTTTTTCAGTGATAACAGAGTGTAGGTTTAACCACAGCAGATTTGAACATTTAGATGAGAAGAGAGGTTTTATTATACAAAGAAAATGTAATCTTCTGAGGCAGAAATGAATGAACATGTGTGCGTGTGTGTGTGTTTTATATTTTTCTGCCTGCCAATGCTTGGCAATTGCAATTAAGCAGGCTGTGTGCACTGCAGCTAATTAGAGAAAGCAGGTTCCATCTAAAGAGGACAGAGGACAAGAGCCAGCCAATTGTTGATTACATGGGAATTTAGGCCCACCAATTTCAGATTTTTTTAATATGGAAATTTGAATTTTGATGTTGAATCTTTTTATTTTTATTCATTCACTTATTTATTTATCTATCTATCTATCTATTTATTTATTTATTTATTACGCCTACAGCACCTTGTCTTCCTAGGTGGTCTCCCATCCAAGTACTAACCAGGCCCGACCCTGCTTAGCTTCTGAAATCAGACGAGATCGGGCACATTCAGAAATCTTTTGATTTTTAAATGTTAGCCATACATTCAAAATTTTGCTTAAAAAAATTTCACAATATAAAGAAAACATATCTGCTGAATTCTGCCCACAGCTGCCATTTTGTAAACTCTCACTTAGTGATCTCATTCATTTCATGGCTTCAGTGATCTTCAAAGGTAAAGTAAATTCATTTTATCCACAATCAGACTCAATAAGTCTCTAGTGTTCACTCGCTTCATGAGAACTACTGTTTATTTCCATGGAGAAAAACCTAGAAAACTAGTAGTCATCACACTTTCCTCTTCCTCACAACTCTCCCCCAGTTTTCAGGTGTAACCTCAATATCTCTTGGTGCCATTTACTTCTCCATTTTTTCTTCCACCCTCCTATTCTCTAAAGCCTAAATCCATTACCATCCTAATAGCTATCTAGCTAATGGCCCCCTTGTCCACCATTGCTCCCTTCTCAGCTATTCTGTCTAGGCAGTCAGAAGCTTTTTTTTTTTTAATTTTTTTTCAGAAGCTCTTTAAAATACAAATTTATTTATATTAGTTTCTCTGTTTAAAACTTCACAAAGACTTACTATTGTCCTTAGCTAGAAGACCAAATTCTTTAGCTTTATAGAGGATTGCCTGGTATATGTATAATTGTTCAAATTATAATTAAATAAATGAATATATAATATAATTTTTTAAATTATGAAATCAAGAAAAGAAAAATTCCAAAGTGAATAAATTAAATAACGAAGAGGAACAGTGTATAAAAATGCAACTTAATTGATCTTAGCTACGAATTTTGAGTTAAAATTTGATTCAGGATTATTGATTTGGGTCTCTTGACTGCGAAAGGTAAAAGAGACACACGATAGTACATTGAAAAAATATATTAGTTTTCTAAGTAAAGGTTTTCCATGACTCTTAAAAATAATAATATACATATTTTAAATCTGAGCAAAAAATAAATAAATAAGTGAAATCTGAGTATAAATTTAACTTATGATTGTTGCAAAAAAGCACCTCAATTACAAAAAAAAATCACCTCTGGAATGTAAGTCTGAAATTACATCAATTATATAAAGAAGAAACTTGTCTTCCTATTAACTGTACAAGGAAAATGTGTATATATATCAAGAAACATCAGTTTTAAGTCCTAACAACTTGAAAAGAAGGGGGAATAGAACCAGAGTGCTTTAGAGTAAAAGGTGATAGTATTGGAATTAATAATTATGCTAGGACATGAGCATATGTCAGGACGATCCTGGGAAAATTGAAACGTATGGACAAATTTCTAAAAACTATATATCTTACTAAAATTCTCTCAAGACAAAACAGGAAACCTGAATAGTCCTTTAAGTAAGGTCGCTCGTAACTTGTTTATTTCAAAGTAACTTATTTTTGATGAATTCACATTACAAGGAGATGTATTAACTTAATATGTAGCCCTTTTCCTTAGTATGTGTTTAAATCTATAAGGAAATTATTTTCAAATTGTTGTTTTCATGAAAATCTTCACTGATAGGCGGTGAACACACAATGCTATATGTATATGCCTTACTGTTGAATAGTACACCTGAAATTTACTGGATTTCTTTAACCAATGTCACCAAAATAAAAATAAATTTTAAAAAAATCTTCATTGATTTTTATTAACTTTTTCTTTCCTCTCTGCTTTCCATCAATGTACAACATTGCTATTTTATGAGAATTAAGTATATTCTCACACTGAAGAATGTTGACTATGATCTGAAAGCCAAACTTAGCTGTAGTTTGATTTCATTCTACAGCTCTTGCTCTACAGAAACAACCATTTGTGCCTCGTGATCAAAATCCAGAGCAATCAAATAGGAATCATATTAAAGATGAAAGACAGGAAAAGAAAAAAGAGAGAAAAGGAGGAGGAGGAAAAGAAGAAAATGAAAAGGAAGTAGAAGAGAAACTGGAAGAGGAACAAGAGACAGAAGAGGAAAAGGAATTAAAAATGGAAAATGATGAAGAATATCCAGAGAAAAGATTAGTCAGTAAACCTCTCCTGGACACTCTGTGGGCAATGTTTAAGTTAAACAAATGTCCCACAATAGGAGATAGTCTATCACTTGCATTTACATTTAACATGACAGAAAAGCAGGTATGACAACATATTTCTTTACTGATGGAATCACTTGTATAGCACTATTACTCATATAAACCAATATCCCTATTCTTGGATTAATCACCTCCCCCACCTCATTTTTTTGCAGATAAATCAATGGTTTTTTAAAAAGAGGAAGAAATTCAATAAAGAAATGTATAAGCAGAAATATAAGAAAAAGCGTAAGAGGTAAGAATATTTTATATATAGAACATTAAGTAGAAAGGAAATAAAAAAGGAATATATTGACTTTTGGAGACAGTTTGTATTCACATAGTTACTGGATATCGCATAAACTTTTTCATGTTTCTAGCCTGTGAAAAAGAAAGTTTTCACTCTGCTCAACATACAAAAACACATATGCATACATAGACATGCCACTATTTACCATGTAGTCATATTACTAAATATACAACCACAGCCACTCGATTTTTATTAATCGTAGTATAGAATTGCTAATATTGTCTTTTTTATTCCTTAGGTACTAAATATATTTGATGCTTGTCTTTTTTTTCTATTGGCAGAACCTCATATATTTCAAAAGAATTAAGAAAAGATCGTCAATATTTTTAATACTGTATATAGAATGTTCATAAATTATTTACATACATTTACATACAAATAGTTATGTATTACCTCACTTGATCATCACTCTAAACCATAAATAAGTAAACTAAACTGCTGGGAAATAATGTGATTTCATCAGCAAGTACCAGTTCCTAAATATGTACTTTCATCTTTCAGCTATAAATGCTATGTGCTTTCAGTTATAATCTGGGAAATATTCTAGCTATATCGGTTTGTGTATCATATGTAATGCTTTATACACCCAATTTTCTCTATTAAAATTTCTATTGAAAATATTTAAAATTTCTTGTACCTTCACCTTCATAATTTCTTTACCTCTTTGAAATTTTTAGGATGATCACTTTGTTCTTCAGTGAAAATTTTTTTCAAATTGCCATATTTTGATATATGTTAAATATATGACTGTGTTATGAAATATTTTATATAACACCATTCTCATGTGTAAATGGAGTTCTGGGAGGATAAACAAGAAAATATTAACAATTGTTAATTCTACAGAGAACTAGATGAAGGGAATGCAAAGGAATTTCTAAATATTCTTTTTACACTACCATGGATTTGAAGTTTTTATAATGTAAGCTCATTGATTTTGTTTAAGAAAAAAAAATAATGAAGAAATTACTAACTTCTGTGGATATGTTCAGAGAATAAAAAGGAAAGCCACTGTAGAATCTAATGGATTTAGCGCATTTTGCAATCTGTCACTAGATCTCTAACAGGCCCCTTCTGACTTTTGTCTACAAACGTAACTACTTCTAGAAGGGTAATTTTCGTCTGTGAATGTGAAGAAATGAGAGGAGTAGAGTTATTTATATTTTGCAAGAGGAATTTTATGGATGGGCCATGGATAAGGAGAGAAGGAAAGATGACACCAATGGACATGAGAACAAGAGAATAAGTTGGAGGTTAAATGAGAGTATGAAAAATGATTGATAAAGAAACTTCAGATTATTATATACCACTACTCTTGTCACTCCCCAGAGTTAGTTCATCAAAGATTTTGACATTGATGTGGTTTTTACAATTCATGTGGATGTTCCATCTAACACCTAAGCCTTATAGTTTAATTTTCTAAAACTCGCTGACCTTCACCCACTTATGACCAAGATCTAGACCTTGTTGTCTAGTTTATTTCATGCCAGAAATCTCTAAAGTCCAAATCCTTTTCCCTACTTTTTTCCTGTTCTTCCAATTGCTTTCTATTGCCTTCCCAAAGCTTCAGTGCAAACTTGTGACGAATTCATGATTTGACGCCTCAATTTTCTCCTGATCTAGTAGCATCCTTCTGGTCTCATTCTGTTCTTTAAAGTCTGGATTATGTAGTTAGTAACCTGAATTACCATCTTACCTCAGTTGTCTTGCCCTTTTGTTTTTCCGCACACCTGGTGAAAACTTAGCCTTTTTTGAGCCTCAAAATACCCCTATACCAGATACTGATGGTAAAAATCAGTTTTTTTAAAAAATCACAGAAAAGAAAGACTATGTAGGTCTTTCTGGTTATCTATATTGATGCCACCAGGGTAGAATAGAGTCATAGATGAGGTCAGAGTTTATTATGCACAAATTATTTGGTAATTCAGAGTAGTAGTTTTGTAGTTCACATTAAAGGCTATATCAAAGTTATGAATTTATTATTATTCCATCCTTTTTTTAAAAAAAATCTCATTTTATATCCTTTTATTATCTTACCCTTCTTCAACTCAGACTTCATCACAATCCACCAAAACCTTTCTACTCATACCTTTTTCTCTGCCTACCAACATGTTCAAGTACCTCTGATTCTAAAAATAAAAACCCAGCCTTGCTCTACTATCCTGTTGGTTTGTAATCTTGAGATGTCAACCTTTCCTGGGTGAAATCTGAAACCGGCCCCATTCAGGGAGAGCAAGGAGAGACTGAAGAAAGGCAGACCACTCCAGATTGGTGGGTGGCAGGTTTAAGAAGTGAGGGAACGTACTCATACGCCTTCTCTTCAGTGGCCTCAAGACAAGTTGATCTCTGCATCCATCCACCAGAATCTTAAATCTATATAAAACCCTTAACTGTTCAGTCACATATACTGTTCAGATGGTCTCAAGGACACATATCTCTCAAGACCGTATCCTTGAAAATGACTCCTACTGTGTTAACAGTAGGCAGAATGTAAATCCCAAGGGGAGGGGAGGGGAGGGAGTGAAGAGCCTCTGATTTCCAGGTCTAGCTCAAGGGTCAACCAGAAGTCACATCCTGGAACACTACCCCTTGTGACTGACTCTTATAATCTTATATGTCTCCTCTTCCAAAATGCCTTGAGCAGTCAACAAGGGATTTCAGTAGCATGGAGGTGGTTCGTTGGTGGCTATGTGGCTGCACTGGAGACAGATGCCACAGCAACAATATAGGTACATGCAAGAAAAAGACCAGATTAAGATAACAATTCCCAAACTAAGTAACAGTTTTTTCCACCAAGAGCCCCATAATCCAAAACACTGATTTATTAAGTCCCCTAGGCTAGAGGATGGATCACTCAGGTTATTTACTTGGGTCCCCATGTGATTTAATAAAGAGGATACTTTAGTAGACTCATCAGGTATGAACACATAGCATCCTGTTTTGGTAATAGCACAAGTTCCTCCTAGGGAGGACAGCTTTTAATGATGTCCAAGTCTATCCTATTTTGGAGGATAGTTTTTCTCATTAGAGACATTTCAGTGTTCAGTAAAGACAGGTTTTATACTATCATTTAAGTCTTGTTTAGTGAGTTTAGTAAGGGCCTCTAGGTGTGCTCAAATGTTCTCCAGGCAAATGGGACAAAGACAGCAGCCAAATGGTCACACCAGTGGGACACAGAATGTTCCCACTTGGCCTTGAGGAGAGGAGGTCGGCACTTCAGGAACTCATTCTAGTTGTGCATACTAGACACGTTGGCTGGGGGAGGCAGCGTTGTCGGGGGTGAGGAGATGGACTCGGGGAGGGATATGCCAGATCCCCACCTTCTCTCTTTCAATGGTGCATGTTCCTTCCTAGGTATAGCATGTTTCAACAGCTCCATCTCACAACAGGACAACAAGATCCCAGCGGAGACTAAGTAGTTCCCCCTCACCCAGGAGTACAAAGTAATCCAAGCATTTCAGTGGGATGTCCCACTGCAAACTCCAGTAGACATCGTTTTCCCCAGGCCTGATGGGGCTCGGTGTTCTCAGATCCATGGTAGGACTCAGGGCAACGGCTGCTTCCCTCGACTTTCATTCCTTCATGGAAGGTGCCATGGCAGCTGTCCCCAGGCTGCATGTGGGGCAACAGGCCCTCCTGGTTGATCATTCAAATGCATTAAGGTCTGAGACAGTACTTTAGTCCACCCAACCAAGGTGGTTTCACCTGTTAATGATTTGATCTGATCTGCTGCATTTTTCTTTCCCATTAACCCTGCTGTTTGTGGGTTATAGGGGAAATAGAACCTTTAGTGTCATTCTTTTGCTCAGTCTTGCATATCATAACCTTTGAAATGTGACCTCCAATCCCTGTCTATTTGATGAGGGTATCTGTACATGATACTCAGCTTCTCTAAACCCCTAATGGTGGCAGCCTGGTTTGTACCATGACAGGAAAGCTTGGCTTAGGCCAGATGCAGTGTCCACACAAACTAAGGCATATTTAGAACCCTCCAATTTTCTCTTGTAGGTAGGGGGCCAATATCAACTTTGCCAATCCTTCACCAGTTGGAACAAAGGTGGATGGCCCCAAACTCCATTGGCAGTTGCCTTGTGCATTGTTTAGAAAACACAGGACATGCTTTTATTGAATTAACCAAGTCACTATATTTCAAGGGCAATTTAGCATCCTTAGCAATATGCCATCCCACCTGGGCCCTACAGCAGCTGCTCTTTCTATGCACCCAATCTGCTGTATCCACTAGAGGGTCATTTGCTAGGGCTCCTACTCAGGCTAAGGCATCAGCTTCCTGATTTGCAGGGAGTGTCAGTGCATTATGAGCCGGAGTGTGGAAAACAGTGAGGACCTCCTCAGGCCCTTGCAGGCGAACGCAATGTCCCTCCACACATCCTGACGCCACAATGGCTTACTCATGATCATTCACCCATAGGCTTCCCACTGTCTAATTGATAGGCTTAATCCCTTTAGAACAGCCCAGTTGTCAGTGCAAAAGGTTAACATCCAGGGCTCATGAGTGTTCACCAGCCAAAACCACTCTTGAGTTCAGCACGCTAGCTGCTGTGTTTCATTCCTGTTTCCATCCACATGATGTCAGTGTTGGGCTGAATAGTGACTACAGTCCTTGTGGCTAGATTGCCCCAACTAGTCCCATCTGTGTATACCAGGCATCAGTGGGAATTTTCCCCGCACCCTCTCTACAGGCTGCAGCAGCTGCTACAGGAATAGGGGCAAGGGCATCTGGAGGGTCTACATACTCTACAGGGCCTAGTAGCATCCACATTTCTAGCAACAGTGGGCTGGAGCACAGGGTGCTCCTCTGCTGCAAACAGACATGCCATTTAGTCAAAGTAGGACTTTGAGCCATGGCGGAGATGTATCTAATGGAACATATTCTCAACCTACCCTCTGAAAGGAAGGGACGTTCTTAAGAGGGTATGCTGTTCCTTTAT